GTGTAGACATGGTCAAAAAGAATTCTTCAAATAGGGAGCACAGTAGAAATTTTAAGAGATTGTTTTAAGACAGATCTGGACAGATATTAAGGAAGGCAGGGTAGGTAGTTCATGCTAAGTAATTTGCCTAAAACTAGACTGGAAAGTCTGTGAAGGCAGAGATTATGTCTGTTTGGTTCACAGTGGATCATCAGGGACTAGCAGAGTGTCTGAAAAATAGTAGTCAATCAAGCAATTTAAAAAGAATAAATAAATGAGTGAAGCAATGACCTGTAGTACCTGCTATGTGTAGGTGCTAGTAAGCGTTTCACTGACCAGTATATAGACAATTTAAATACTGCAGTAAGTAATAGGAAATGAACATGAGTACTAGTAGGATGGGATTTCTAAATAATTCAGAGATTTGGAAAGCTTCTTGGAGGAAGTAATACATGGCCTGAGTTTTGAAGGAAGAAGGTATGGAAAAGCACTGGGCACAGCATGTGTTAAATTCCTATGGAATGAAACATTGTTACAGGGTGCAGCCAAGAGGGGGGACCCCAAATGGGCATTTGAAATGGGGTCCAGAACTTAAGGTGTCCAGGAGATTTTAAGATGTCTCCATACTCCCACCCAGGGTGTGGGTTTGGGGGAAGGGACAAATGGAGCAAGGCCATTGAGATCTGTTTTGCATAGCAACAGCCTTGCAGCTACCCTCTGGTGTGGTCATTTAACATATCTATAGCCTTTGGCTGGTTGTATGGATATGTTAAATAGCTGTGATCATCTCCGAGCCAGGGGAATGGAAGTAACTTCCCCACCAAGACGTGACTGGGGGCAGATCCCCCAAGCTACAGCGCCTGCGTGGGAGCTCGGAGAAGATTGGCTCCAGGACATGGGGGCCACACCTGCCCAGACTCAAGATGGCAGCCCAGTAAAGCTGGAAGGATACGAGTTCTGGCATGTGAAGCCGAGTGTGGGAGGAGTCGGAAATGAGGCTGCAGAGGAAGATTGGCCGCGGGGATTTAAAACCCAGACTTGGCGGCCTTTAGGAGAGAGAACCACGTGGCTTTGACGGAGTGGAGACTCCTGCATCCCAGAGAGAGAGAACCACGAGGCCTGGACAGAGCAGGGACCCCCACAGCTTTAGAAGGGGAACCACCACCTGGTTTTAGCAGAGATCCTGGCGACTCAGCCGAGGGTGCCGGGAACCCAGGGAGGTCTCCCAGTCGAGAAGGAGGACTAAGAACCAGAGGACTGTCTGAGCCATGGACTTCTATTTCCTTTCCTGAGTTACGGTACTCTGGACTGGGCAAAGGGGGAAGGAAGGAAGGACTGTGACTGTGTTTGTGGGTGTTTTAAGGGACTTTGGGATTTTTGATAAAGACATTAGGTCACTACTATAAGTCTGTATAGCATTAAATAAACATTTCCTTTTCACGAATCTCTGGCATTGAGAGATGTCTTTCCTCGGGCGGCGGACATAACGGACCTGGGGCCTTCTTTCAATAATACTATATTGTCTCAGGCCCACCTTGTTCTGTTCTGTAACAACATCATTATGCATTTGAGGAACTAAGAACAGTGCAGTTTGGCTGGAGAGAAGAATGGGGTGACATGATGGTGTGATGATAGATTAGATGATAGGAGCTTCTAGAATTTGAAGAATCTTTGTATGTTGTGCTAAAATTTGGGCTTTGTTCTAAATCTGGTGATCACTAAAGATTTTAGGCAGGGAGTAACAGGATCAGATCTGCCTTTTAAAGATCACTCAGGCCATCAGTGGTACAGGGAGGTGGAAGAATAGAGGTGGGAAGGTTTAAACTAAGACATGAATGAAGTTAATGGAATAAGATATGAAAGATATTACTGAGAAAGAGAATGGATGTGGGTGATGAGTGAAAGGGACCAGAACGACTGCCAGGCCTCATGTTTGGATGTAGTGCCACTTAAGACAGATAACAGAAGAGGAGTAGAGTTTTTTGGCTTTCTGCAGGTAAAGGGGGAGAAAAAAAACTATTATAAACCTAGTCTTTGCTTGAATTTGAGGTACCAGTGGGAAATATAAGTGTGCAAGTTCTGCTTTTTTTGATGCACACATCGTGGAGGTCAATCACACTCTCTCACAAATGTTTCTTGTTGTATATAGGTCTTGAAGCAGCATGGGATTTCTGAAATTTTATGTGCTAAGAGTCCCCTCAAAAAAGAACAGGGGGTCTCATAAGCAGGTTGAATGTTAATCATTTTAAAATGGAGAAATCGTCTTTAATAATACTGTAACCTAAGACCTAATTTCATTTATAAATAAAATATGGCAGCATGGATAACAAGCCCAATCTGTTTTCTAAACCATAACAGGAGAGCAGACATGATAGAACAAGATGTATTACTTTATCTCCTTGAAATTACACTCTGAGCGGGAGCATTTGAGATCTTGCTCCCAGCCATGTATTGTCAGCTGGGCTAAAATAAACTCTTATAGAAATTCAAAAAGAAAAAAATTATACCCTGAGTGGTCATATATATTGCATAGTAAAAATTTTATTTGTAGTAGAGAAGAAAAAACTTAAAAATGCAATCAATTTCATATGTATTTTATTGCACAGCTGTAATTATTAAACCTCTTTTTCTTACTATGTTGTTAAATATTATTTTTGTTCTATTCTTCAACTAAATGGTTATTAGCTATATTAACTTACAGGAACTTACTAGTTCATCAAGGATGTTTCCTGGAAATCTCATTACATAAGAATACACACACTATAGTACTTAAGATTAACCTTGTCTTTTATGTGTATATTATATTCGCTCAAACAACATTGAATGACCCAAGAAAACATATTTGGCCCTTCATCTGGGATTCTAAATTGTATTCACGATGCATTTTTAAAGTTCCATCAAAAGATTCTGGTATGAATTAAGTACTTTTAAGCTCATTCACTTATAAAACATCAAATTGTTAGTCTAACCAGTCCCTTTCAAAGTTATCTTTCTCCTTCTACCCACCATTTAAAGATCTAAACTTTCTTCTTTTTTCACACTGTCCTGGGACAGAATGGACCACTTCAGAAGCTTCTGAGGCTAATGCATTTCTACCACAATTACTTCAACAAGCCTGGTTCCCCTCACTTCTGCAACAAGCAGAGTAAGCGATCAGTGTCTGCAGATCTGAACTTTTTCATCACCCCCCCATCTCTCAAGGGAAAAAAATGAAAATAATAGTTCCTGCTCTTCTCCCCAAACCCCAAAACACAATCCGTCCCATAATTAGAAAGAGGGGAGGCAAAGTGGAACAAGTTGCGACGGGTGACCGGGAGCGCAAAATTGGGATCAAAGCTGGGGCTCGAAACGCCGACGGGGTATCATTCATCATGTCCGGGAGAAATCTGGGCTATTTGCGAAAAGAGAACGTCCCCAAAAGCCCCAGAAACTAACTGGTGCTAAAAATCAGAGAAACAGCGAGTGACAGGCAAAGAGGCCCGACCCACTGGGACAGCCTAAAACATGCAAGGAATGCAGAAGAAACGTCAGGAATCCGGGACCAGCTGCCGTTGGCCAGAGCGACCGCCAAGGTTAAAACTAAGCTCCAAAGGCAGGCACTTCGCTGAGACCCTTGGCTGGGGAAAGGCGCCTGTGAGCTGAGCAAGGGAGGCTGGAGACGGAGTTGCTCCCGAAAGTAGGAGTGTGTAGCCCTCTGATCGGTTCCGGCGGCAGGAAACCGCGAGCAACTCTGGGGGCGGGCCTAGGGGCGGGGTCGGGGCTCCTCCACCGCAAACGGCAGGCCAAACAGCGTCCTCAGTGCGCCTGCGTAGAGTGAGGCAGGACTCTATTTGGCTACAGGGCGTGCTGCGGCAGCAGCGTTCTCTACCCGGCATGCTGCGCGGGGAGCGACGGCACTACGTCCATCTCTTCCCAACCCTCCCCCCTCTACCCCTCCCCTTCAGGCCCCCCTATCCCCGCTTTCCCTAAAGTGAGTGAGTGAGACGGGCAGATGGAGGAGGGACTGTAATGGCGGCGGCCGGCAGCTCCCTGCTCTGACCCACAGCAGACATACAGCAACTATCCCCACCCCGCCCCAATCCCAGCTGGCCTCCGCCCCGCCGCCGGAGCGGGGCCATCCTCCCCGGCCCTTCCCCCAGCTGTCGGCGTCTCGCCCTGCGCCCCGGCCGGGGCCCCACACACAATGGACGAGCTCGCCGGAGGCAGTGGTGGCGGCCCGGGGATGGCGGCCCCTCCACGGCAACAGCAGGGACCTGGGGGGAACATGAGCCTTTCGCCAGGGGGCAATGGAGTGGCGGGCAGCGGGGGTCCTCCTGCCGCGGAGGGAGCGGGTCCAGCGGCAGGCCCCGAGCTGTCCCGGCCGCAACAGTACACTATCCCAGGGATCCTGCACTACATCCAGCACGAGTGGGCTCGGTTCGAGATGGAGCGGGCGCACTGGGAGGTGGAGCGAGCCGAACTGCAGGTACCTCGCTGGGGTCGGTGTGTGGGACGGCTGCGGCAGCGGGGTTCCCCGTGGGGGGTGGGGACGGGACTTCCCTCATTGGGATCCCGCGGGCTTGGGAAGACCAGATGAGCCTACCTGCGCGGCTCGGGGGGCGCTGGTGTTGGCCGCTGTTCTTGCTAGAGTTCTCCTCCCCCTTTCCCGCAGAAGCTTGTTCCCAAACCCTCTCTAGCTGCGCGGTGCGGGCTTCCTTGGGGCAGCCATTTTGGCTTTTAGTATGGCGTCTGCGGGGGCTCCTCTGGAGGCGGCCTGCCCGGGCCTCCGGGGCCTCCCGGGCTTGGGGCAGAACTCGTCTCTGTGGGAGAGTCCGGCGTGGGGCTCCTGAACAGTGAACTTGCTTTGTGTTGCTTCTTGGGATGGAGAGCCCGATGATGGGCATTTTACCACCTTTCCCGGATCATCCCCTCTTTCCGATTTGGCAGGTCTGCACCCCTCCCCTGGAGTTGGTACGCACTTGCCCCTTGACAACCACGCTTCCTTCCAGAGCTGCTACCAAGCACAATGGCTTGCCACTGACCTGTGAAGTTTTCATTTCCTACCGCCAACTTTAAGTATCTTCACCTGCGTCGCTGCCCTGTGCACTTAGATTCCCCTTCAGTTGTTCTTTAGTTTAGGGACTGACTCATCAAGCCTTCTCCATACAGGCATACCTCGGGGATACTGCGGGTTCAGTTCCAGACCCTTGCAGTGAAGCGAGTGGCAATATTTTTTCTGTTAGAGGGTCTTGCCTTCAATTTGTAAAAAAAACGCAGTTCTGTGAAGCGCAGTAAAGCGAAGCGCAATAAAACGAGGTATGCCTGTACTGAAATTTTTTTAGGGTACCCTTCACCTGGCCTTCCCTTCCTCCATCCCCTTTTTTTACTCATGAAAAGCCAAACCAGACTATCTGTGTTGTCTTTGTGAAAGGACTGAAAAAAAATTTAATATTAGCTGGAAGTAAAAGGTTCTTTTGTCACGTTACTCACAGAGGTGAAGCAAAATTAAATATCCTCAAGACCCCTCATGATTAAGCCTGACTCGATCCTCTTAAGGTGAAAATTTGATGGGCTAGTTTATCTAACTTTTGGAACATGTTGGTAGTTTACGTGTTCATGTCTTGGATTTCAGAATGGCTGTATCTTTCTTAAAGACTCGTTCAACATTTTGGGATATTCGTTTTTATTTTTAAACCCTTTCCCGGTCAAATTTAGGCTGGGGTAGGGGGAGGGAAGCATGCATCTAAAGTGTGTTGCACCTGTTATTCAGAGTGATATATATATTTAGAATATCAGCAATATTGTTCGCTGACATATGCCATTTATGCCTATGGTGAATAGTTGGGAAAATTTAAGGAATTTTGGATTAACTTAGGGAGGGTGTACTCAAAGAAATTGATCTTTTCAGTTTGATTTTGAACTAGTAAATTTTGAGTCTACAAAGTAGGTAAAGGTAAACTTTAAAAAAATAAGAATAATTACATATTTTGACACTTTATCAAGTTTTGTAAGAATTATAAATTAACACCTGTTAGTCAATTCAATGTTTTAGAATTGCGCTTTGATATAGTATTGTGCTTTTAAAAATACAACTTTCAAAAAGCTTAAATCAAAATTGTCTACTGTTTCCTTTAACTTGTGTATGTATAGTCTGCTTTAAAATACCTGGGATTTAGAGTTCTGTTGATACACAACTTTCTGTCACACCGTGTTGCAAATTTAGCATTCTGTGTGAGTGAAGATAGGCATTTATTTTTAATATTTGCATTTGCAAATGCATGGAGGCTTGGGCTCACTAATACTTTGCCAGTTTGAAATAGTGTTATGACCTTTGTACTGTTGTAGGAAAGCTTGGATTCTACCACTTTTCAGTTTAGCAATTACATTAGTCATTCATAAGCTTCAGTAAAGTAGCAGAGAAAATGTCTTTTGTCTAAATTAGTAAGGTATATATACATTAATGAGGTCTGTATCATCTGTCCTAGTCCTCGCTTTCTCATCTAGTCCTTCCCTTGACAGTAGCAGAAAAGTCTGTAAAGGAAGATACCTTTTACTCGCTTGCTTGCTTTCAGTTTATCTGTATTGGTATATTTTGATATAGCCATTATAAGCTAGTTGGTTTATTTCGAAGAAGTTCTACAGTGTTTCTAGACTCTTAAATTCTTCCAGGGATTTTCGTTAATTCATACTAATTTTTTTGGAATAAAATGTTCATGATTGTGTTTATATGCTCATGTTCTATACACTTCTGTAAAATATTTTACTGGGTTACTTAATTAAGAGGGTTTCAGATTTACTTCCAATATGTTGAATTTGCTTTAAGTGTACTCAGTCTTTAGTAAGATTTCTTGTACACACTTTAAAAATGTTTGTGTTGAATAAAATTTTATTGGGGTGGTTTAAGTGATACATCAATGGATTTAAACTGTAAACTTTAACTTATTTTTAAGAACAATAATGATAATGAGACAGCTTACATATTATATAGAGTCTTGGGTACCTATATGTGTTTTTATCTATACATATAAAACTATTCAGTAATGAATACAAAGAGGCTAAGTTATACCTAATTTTGATGTAAAATTTCATTATGAAATCATGTGTTACCTGGCTTTGGAAAGGATTTTAAATTGGAACTTTTCAGTGTGTGGGTTTTCTTTTTTTCTTTGTAAAAGGAATTTGGGGTAAAGGTCTATTTTAAAAACTTAAGTAACCAAAGGATCGTGTCTTAAAGCTCTTTTTATCTTTGTGTGGGTTCCTTATCTTGGATTGGGGTATTTTAATATTTGTTAGTAAGACTCTGAGACAGTGACTCCTGAATGAGAGAGCTAGTCAGAATCACTTGTAAAACTTGAAAAAATATGCAGGCCCCCTGCCTTATCCTCCAGAGATTTGGTTTAGGGTTTGGAAGGAGTGGGCTTTGTAGGATTTTTAGCAATTCATGTTATATAAAAATTATAACTGCCATTACACAGCATTACAACCTTATGTAGGTATCATTCCTATTTTATAGATGAGGAGACAAATTTAGGTTAAGTAACTTTACCAAGGTCACCCAGCTATAAAGTATTGGAACTGATATTTGAAACCAGGTTTGTCTGAATTCAAAGCCTGTGTTCTTACTACCACTCTTGTAACCACTGTGTTGTATGGTCGGTCATCTTAGCATTTTTCATAGAAATGGAATCTGCCCTGTAATTCTTTGTCTATCATATTGTGGCATATACCACTTCAGTACAAAGTGTTTTTGAGCAAAGTGTTCAAAAACACCATTTCAGCAAAGTGTTTTTGAGCCCCCGTGATGTATGAAGTGTAATTTGTGTATATTGTAAACATGTCCTTACATTTTTTCTGTAGTCGATATGTAATTAAAAAAATGCACTTATGGTATATACAAAATGCTTGTTTGGCAACTATAAAAACATGACATTAGATAATACATAGAAAATAATATATAGTCCAAAAATTTATATTCTAAAATTACTGATTCTCTGGCAAATATAAAAATTTTAATTAGTTTTTGTGTGCATACTCTGGCATACAGATTTGTCATAACATGATAGCTGTTTTCTACCTAACAGTCTTACCTTATGGGAGATATTTTGCTCACAGGTAACCAGATTTTTTCATTATTAAGGTGGGAGAAGTTTGTTTTTCATGTGCCCCTTACTTTTATTGTCAGCATTTTCTTAGCATAGTCAAGAATGATGTTTTACAAATTCTGATGCTCTATTACAAGATTTTTAGGGTTTTACTATGAAGTTACAGAAAAATAAGAACAGTATATAGTGATTTTGTATAAAGATGCTTCCTTTATTCTGAGAATTTTAGCCTTCGCATAAATTTTGTTGTTATGCAGAATCCTATTTTAAATGATGGTGACAATAGAGTAAACAATATTTGATAGGATTAAGTCTACAACCTTATTTCATTCTCCGTTTCTTTTTGTCTGCTTTACAGGCTTCATTTTTGCTCTACTCATTCCATAATACCCATCCAAACACTTTGAAGAATGCTCTCTTTCTGTTGTTAGTTAGTTGACCTTTACATTGCCAAATCCTGTGGCCTTCTTATAGACCGTATGGACCTAACCAACAATTTCTGCTATTGACTGTTTCTTCCTCAAAATCCTCTTTGGTTGTACTAATTTCTTGTTTTCCCTTTGGTCCACTTAATCACTTTTCTTCATGTGTTTTCCTCTTCTTTGTTCTCAGTTGTTATTACCCGGGGTTCTGGTTTTCTTCTTCTTTTCACTATATATTTCACTTGAAATTAGATGTTCAGCTATCACTTGCCATCTTAATACTTAACATTTATTATTTATCATTTGCTAAGTGTTATTTTGATGCCTCGGTATTTATTAGTTTAATCCTAAAAAAACAACCCAGTAAGGTTGGCACAATTGCTTTCTTTTTTTGTTGGGTGTTTTTTTTTCTTATTTATTTATGTTTTTGACACTAGAGTATTGGAGCGCAGAAGTTAAGTAATTATCTGTCCAAGATAGTGCAACTAGGAGGCAGGAGAAGTGGCATTTAAATCTGGACAAATTGCCTTCAGAGGCCATGTTTGTAACCACTTTGTATCTTAGGCTTCCAGATATCTCAGATATATTTCTAATTTCCTGTTTAACTTTCTTTTAAAAAAATGTTTTATTTATTTATTTTTAGAGAGAGGGAAAGAGAGGGAGAAAGGGGGGGAAACATCAGTGTGTGGTTGTCTCTTACTTGGCCCCCACTGGGGACCTGGCCCACAACCCAGGCATGTGCCTTCACCAGTGCTCAAACCAGTGACCCTTTGGTTTACCACCCATGCTCAATCCACTGAGCTACGCCAGCAGGGCCTTTTTTTTTTTTTTAAGCTTTTCTATTTCAAATTTAATACATCCATTACTCAGTTCATCTCACTTGCCTGCCATTCCCTTCTTAGAACACACTTAACTTGCTCATTCCCCTTTATTCTTTGTTATAATTAATGTTTACAATCATCTTCCCCATCACTAGACAGTATACAGATCCCCCTATATATGCTGAGTCTTTGAATTTTATTGATCTAGGATAATTATTCAGTGAATCTATTTGAGTGCTACTTTGTGCTAGGCCATGGGTATGTCATGTTTGAAGCAGGGACCTGGCCCTCATGGAGCTTGTACTCTAGAAATAATAAACTGTGATAAACCAGAAATTAACAAGATGACAAATAAATGGTCATGGGAAACGTGTGGATAATGGACTTTCAGATAAATAGGTAGTATTTATTGAGTATTTACTATGTGCCAAGTATTATTTTGAGTTCTTAATACATATCTTAGATCAATGGGTAAATAAAGTTTTTTTGCCTAGAATGACCCTGCAGCCTAACCACTGACTGAAGGAAATAACCCTGATTTAATCTGTGGTTTTCATTTTTTTACTAACACCATCTTAGTTTAGATTGCTTCTCCTGCATGAATTCTCTGGAGCAATCTCTCCACCCATGCCCCTTTCTTAACAGTTTGTACATTATACTACCAATAAGATTGTATTACATACCCTTTACTTTTTTTTAAAATTTTCACCCGAGGATATGTTTATTGGTTTTAGTGAGACAGAAGGGCAGGGAAGAGAGGGGGACGGGGGAGGGAGAGACAGACAGACAGACAGACAGACAGACACACACATGTCAATTGGTTGTCTCCCTTAGGCGCTGTTTGTTGGACTAGGGATCAAACCTCAACCTAGGCATGCACCCTAACGGAATCAAACCTGCAACCATTTGGTGTATGGGACAATACTCCAACTAACTGAGGCACTGGGCCAGGGATCTTTAAGTTTTTATTATGGAGAGTTTTAAGCATATAGAAAAATAATATAATATCTGTGGCCTCCCACAAACTTGTCACCCATCTGTAACAGTGACATGTCATGACCAGTCTTGTTTTACTTACACTACTATCCATACTTCCCAATCTCAAATTG